CATAAATAATAGTATTGTGATTTTACAGTTTTACAGTTTTACTTACTTATTTAGAAGGGAGATATTACAATAGTAACATTTCTTATTTATTTATTTAGTGAAACATTACATTAGTAATATTTGTTTAATATAATAATAATAATAATAATAATAATAATAATAATAATAATAATAATAATAATAATAATAATAATAATAATAATAATAATAATAATAATAATAATAATAATAATAATAATAATAATAATAATAATAATAATAATAATAATAATAATAATAATAATAATAATAATAATAATAATAATAATAATAATAATGTAAATGTGTTGTCTGTTTCTGATCTGGGGTGCGTTTCCCAAAAGCATCGTTAGCTAACTATGGTGGTTCGTTCCATTAAACTCTATTGGTAACGACGGAACTTGCGACCATAGTTGCTTTTGGGAAACGCACCCCTGGTTGAGATTCAGGGTTTGTGGGGACACTTTACCTGCATAATAGCAGTTTAAAATAGACAACACGACTTCTCCTGCGCCGGTCCTGATACTCCCGTGTTACTCAAGCATGTTTAACACGTTTGGGTAAACACTTGATCAAATATGCTTATGCGAATGTCATGAAAAGCGTTATTTATAAAAGCACTAGCGTGTGTGTGTGCGGTGAAGTCGTGTTGTCTATTTTAAACTGCTATTATGCAGGTAAAGTGTCCCCACAAACCCTGAATCTCAACCAGGGGTGCGTTTCCCAAAAGCAACTATGGTCGCAAGTTCCGTCGTTACCAATAGAGTTTAATGGAACGAACCACCATAGTTAGCTAACGATGCTTTTGGGAAACGCACCCCAGATCAGAAACAGACAACACATTTACATTATTATTATTATTATTATTATTATTATTATTATTATTATTATTATTATTATTATTATTATTATTATTATTATTATTATTATTATTATTATTATTATTATTATTATTATTATTATTATTATTATTATTATTATTATTATTATTATTATTATTATTATTATTATTATTATTATTATTATTATTATTATTATTATTATTATTATTATTATTATTATTATTATTATTATTAGATTTTGCATACTTTATTTTATTTTATTTTATTTTATTTATTTTCAACCTTGTTACTGAACAAATCCAGTTTTTTTTTTGTTGTTGTTTTTTTTTTTCAATACAATAACACTAACTTTGACAGTGTTGAATGATTGAGCTTGATGAATGAAGTCAACTTGTGTAAAATTGAGTTAAATTACGTGATGTTATTTACTTCTTCTCACAAACAGACATCTGATGTTTAAAACTGCAGCTTCATGCAATGATAATATGATGTTAGATACCTAATGATTCTCACAAGCAAAGACAGGAGGTTTGCATTTGTGATTTTGGGAGGTTAACAACGTCTTTAAAGCACAGTGTTTGTGAGAGACACTCGTTTGACAGACTCTAATCATGAAAGTGTCTCTGACAGACAGCGAATACAAGCCGCTCATGCAGGAGAAATCGAACGTGTCACTCGCTTCTGAAGAAGAGAAAAGACACAAATGTCTTCTGATGGACTGAGAGACTGAACTGTTTCTGTGCTCGTGAAACGCCCAGATGATCTACTGCATCTTCACAGCAGAGCTCACCGCACCACACACACTGTATCCCACAATGCAGTGCGCACAACGTCCATTTCCAGTGTGATGAATGAAGCGAAGACATGCGACTGCAGCACTCATGTCTGTGAGAGTGAATGCATTATGCATCAGAAACATTTCAAACTGTCGTATTCTGCAGTCACATGACCTGATCAAATAACCAAAATCAGAAGCACAGCTGATATCACTGTCTGTGTGTTTGTCACGCTGGAAATGGAGGTGCTGTATAGCGGTACGGCGGCGCTGTTAATCACAATATAACTGTGCGATGTGGTTCATGCGCTGCATGTTTCAGAGTGAAGCGCAGCACTGTCTTCAGTTACACGCCAGCGTTTGAGTCACATTTGAAAACAACACGCGTCAACAACTTGTAATGAGAGTGATTTATAAACCATCAGTTATCATCATTATTTTTTTCTTAAATACTTATTTTGAATAAGACATATTGCTATAGAAAATATTTCCTATTTGTTTAATATTTTTATTTTAGCAATTATAATATTCTTAATATTAACCAAACATAAATAATAGTATTGTGATTTTACAGTTTTACAGTTTTACTTACTTATTTAGAAGGGAGATATTACAATAGTAACATTTCTTATTTATTTATTTAGTGAAACATTACATTAGTAATATTTGTTTAATATAATAATAATAATAATAATAATAATATTTACAGTACAACAGTTACAGTTATTATTATTATTATTATTATACATTTTGGCCAAATTGTGCAGCCCTACAAACAAGCACGGCAAACTTTGAGATTAAATTTTTTTTTTTAATTGCAATTTAAATGGCAATCACATGTACATACTGTACATAGCAGGATACATAATTACCCATAATCCTCTCCAAGAGGAGAAAACAAACGCCTTCACATTGGGGAAAAAAATGGCCCTGTCCCAAATCACACCCTAAGCGGGATTTACTGTTGACCCCAAACGCCATTAGAGCAGATTCACTGACAGCCGCATCTTTGATGTGTTACACGAGTGTACAGATAAGTGTATGACACCCGTCCTGACAGCCGCACCAGATACGATTTTATGTATTTACATGCTGAGAAACTGCGCTTTGAAGTACAGAGAGCGAGCGCGAGAGAGGCGGTGGCCGTTGGCAGCGACGGCAGATATATTGGATGGCTCAGTGAAATCCCTCTGGTCGCGGCGGTGACACACCGCTCACAGATCCAATTATAGACAGGAACTATGGGATACGTATGTCACATCCTGTATTAACCGGCCCACCTCAAGCACGAGCAGCTCTCTAACTAGGGAGCAAGTGCTCACCGCCATGATCCGCCATACCAGGGATCTGACACTGTTCTTATTGCTAACTGAAACTATTAGAAATGGTTTCATTAAATGAAAATGAAATAAAGTATAACTGTTAGATGAAAAACTAAATCTAAATGAACATTGGCAACTAACATTACTAAAACTAAAATTAAACCTATATAGAAATATTTTAAAAACAGACTATTAAAAATGGCAAAAGCACGTAACAAAATTATTGAAATTAAAATGAAAACAAAATATTAATAGAAAATAATAATAGATAACACAACAGTATATAAATAATACTAAAATAACACTGACTCTACATGTTTAAACATCAATAACTAGTTGACTAGTCAGTTGCCGTGCTTAGTCTCAAACATTGTGACCCATCCCCAGACTTGAATGTTTGTAAAAAAAGTATCTTCTGATCACCAAAGCTGCATTTATTTGATCATAAATACAGAATAAAATGTGAAATATTATTACAATTTTAAATATCTGTTTTCTATGTGAATATCTGTTAAACTGTAATTTATTTCTGTGATGCGCAGCTGTATTTTCAGCATCATTACTCCAGTCTTCAGTGTCACATGATCTTCAGAAATCATTCTAATATGCTGATTTGCTGCTCAAGAAACATTTCTGATTATTATCAATGTTGAACACAGTTGTGCTGCACAATATTTTTGTGGAAACTGTGATACATTTTATTTTTCAGGATTCACAGATAAACAGAAAGTTCAAAAGAACAGCATTTATTTGAAATATACATCTTTTTATAAATGTCTTTACTGTAAATTTTAATGTATTTAAGTCTTACTGAATGGTAGTGTCTGTATGCACTCAAGATCCCGCCCCCAGTTTCATCTGATTGGTCGATTTGTTTTAAACAGATCCCCTGCTGTGCATTATTTGTGTTTCTTACATCAGTGAGGTGGACTTGTACATATATAGCATTTAAATCATGCATAATAATATTTCAGGACAAATATTCATTCCACTGTTTTTACCTCATTTGGATCTTGGCGAGTGTTAATTTTGGACTCTGGGATTCATTACCATCTGCTCTATTAATGACACCTAATAAACCGCGCTCAGATCATGATGTAAAACTCTTAAAATAAATGCGGTTTCTGATCTCATGGCTCTGATGTGATCCTGACGCTGCTCGTCTTCATTACTAACTAATACAAACTTCTGGGGAAAATTAAATTGTTGTTTACAGTGTTTGGCATGTTGGTAACGACAGCCATATTTGGCACAGTCGTGCTTTGTTGTGAACAAACAAAATAAATCAATAAATAAATAGTATGCATATGAACAAATATAAAATGGACTGGAAAAATAAGATAAAACACTTAAAAGCACAAAGTAAAATTGCATTAAAAAATAAAATTGGCAAGTTAATTACAAATAACAGAATTACAAGTAACTCAATTTATTTAATCAGATTACTTTTTTCCAAGTAACTAGTAAAGTAACGGATTACTTTTAAGGATACAGTGAAATATCTGCACTACTTTTTCAAATAAGTAACACAGGTTACTTTGTTTTTCCATGTATTGACTGAGAGCTCTTCTGTTCCTGTGTTGAGAGAAATCAGGAGTGAGTGCGGAGGCGTTTCCTTCAGCCGGAAGATTATTCATTTCACTTTTGGTGTGAAAGAGTCTTTACAGTTGCCAAAAATATAACTCTTGGGATTTTTGTTATTAAAAAAACAAAAAAAAACAACAAATAAGCAAGCCCAGACCTGTGACAAAAAGTAAGGCAAAAGTAAGGCAATGCATTGCTTTCTATAAAGAGTAACGAAGTAACACAATTGGTTACTTTTTTAGGGAGTAACACAATATTGTAATGCATCACTTTTAAAAGCAACTTTCCCCAACACTGTTAGTGGACTCTGAAATTCATGGGGTTATCCTCACATCTTTGCTCGGTTAATCTGATTGCGTTTCTTCTTTCATTGACTGCTGTGTTGTGTAAAACGTCTCCGTTCAGTAATCTGTCTGAATCAGTTGTGTAACCACGTCTCTTCTGCTTTCTCTCTTTCAGCGCCACCAAAGTTCTTACGAACCCCTAACGATCAGACGGGCGTTCAGGGCGGCGTCGCCTCCTTCATCTGCCAGGCTACAGGCGACCCGCAGCCCAAGATCGTGTGGAACAAGAAGGGGAAGAGAGTGAGCAACCAGCGTTTTGAGGTATTAGGTCTATTGTTCTGATGTAAAATGCTCGACAAGTGAATGCTAACAATAACCATGCCCATTAACCACACCCACTGCTTCAGCCACACCCACTCATTAGCATATCCTCCCACAACTAACATGCACGATTACTCATGGCCTGTTGCCGGATTCACAAAAATCTTTAGGGATCAAAAGTTAAGAAAGTTCATAAGTTCTTCATAAATTCTAAGATGTTCGTAATAATGTTCCTAAGTGTGGTTCTTGAAGAAAAAAAAAAAAAACTATTTGCATCGCTACTTGCTTGACTGAAGTCCAGCTCTCAGCGTCACGTTTTTATTTAGAGTTAAACATAATAATTTTAAATGAGCCTGTCTTAAGATGGATAGGTCTGTTGCATTCGTTGCAGTTGTTAATTTGCTCAGCGTAACAGTTAGTCATTAAACATCTTCCTTTTGAGGATTTAAGACAAGTTGGAGGTTATCCTATCCTTAAAAAGTATATATATATATATATATATATATATATATATATTAGAGCCCGACCGATATGGTTTTTTTGGTGGCCGATGCTGATACCGATATTAGGGAGTAAAAAAAAAAGACTGATATCATCAGTGCACTTAACAGTAAACTTCACTTCACTTATTATAAATAATTTAAATAACACAAATAGAACAAAATATAGCCTATATAACTTGAGTTAAGAAATTAAACAAGGTAACTGTGTAGGGCAAACAAGCTATTGCCAAACCAACAGGGGGAGGTTTATGCAGGAAGCACAGCTTTTCCAAATGTAAACATCTCAAATTAATAAATAATAATAATGAATAATATTTTAATTACACCATTTCAAGCATTTTATCTGCGTTATATGTTCTGTAAAAAAAAAATTCATATCGGCAGCATATTCGCCGATACTGATATATCTGCGACAGACTCATATCGGCCGATAATATCGGCAAAACAATATATCGGTCGGGCTAATATATATATATATATATATATATATATATATATACTTATTTAATTTCAGCTAGTTGCCAAAGCAAAATTTATAATCTTCATTTCATTTAACTTGATTTCTAAAAGAACTAAAACTGAAACTGAAATAAAAAAAACAATCAAAACTATAGACATATTTAGGGGAAAAATTACTATAAAACATAAGAATTAAAAAAAAATACTGAAACTTTAGCTAAAATTAAAATAAAAAAACAGACGCTACAAAAATAAAAAAATATTTAATAATAATAATAAATAGCATCTCAATGATAACAAATGACATTGTTTTAATAAATAGCAATGCTTTGTGAATCCGGCCCCTGATCTGAAATTATGATCAGAGGCTTTCGTCAAACATACGCTTTGCATTTCTGAAATGCACTTGTTTCCCAGAAGTTGTTTTTGTTCTTGTGTTGAGCGTCTCATTTGCTTCTCAGTGCATGTTCTGCGGTCTCATGTGGCTCAGTCCTGTATGTTTATTTATCTGTTTTTGGATCGCCATCACAGCCCAGCATGATGAACAAATGCATCACAGCTGAACACTGATAAGATTTTTATTAATTTCAGCGTCATCTTGCCGCACGACCATCTTCACTCTTCTGTTCGCTAACGCTTAGTGGCGGCTAATCTACGGATGCTTATCGGCTGATATGGCACCTTTTTGCGAACAGAAACAAAATCTTATCAGCATTCATCACATGCTATACACCACTAACAGCCACTAATATGCTAACCTTCGATCCGCTACACAGCGTCTTCACCTTCACCCATGCAACTCATTACTAATATCATGTTCAAACGTCCGTCTAACGCTTAGTTTCCACTCGGCTTCGTTAGCCGACTCATGCACACACAAGCGCATGTGTGTGAGCGCGTGGTCATACTCGCATTTCTTTGCGTGGAAAGTGACAGTGAAAGAAAAGCTGCAGCGTATGACCACTGATGTATTTAAGTCTGTAAAACGGAGAACACGTCCTGGTTGTTTCTGTCAGAAGTGAGTATACATCTCCCGATTGCCAGCAACTAAACCTCTCTGTGAGCGTCCTGTGTCCCGTCCGTCTGGCGTCAGTCGCTCTCGTTGAGGCTAATCGACTGTCTGATGACATTCTTTCTAATGACGTTTGTGCCTGTGACGTCACATCACCATCCTCGTTTCATGTTTCATGCGATCTGCTTTACGAGTGGGCCAGATCATGCCATCCCATTCTTAAAGCCACCAGGTTTATCGTGAAACGTCTGGTTTAATTAAACAAATTTTTTGCAATGATAACTCAAATGTGGTGATCAAACATTTATAATGATGTGACAAACATAAGCTTCTGTAGTGGAGGCAGGGTATTTAACAATTTAACAATAAACTTTATTATTTAAAATGAGTCTGACATCAGTGCACTTAACAGTAAAGTTCACTTATTATAAATAACTTAAAAAACACAAATAGAACAAAATATATATAACTTGAATTAAGAAAATAAACAAA